TAAGAAAGGTTTGACTCCGAGGTGGGTCAAAGTCTGTAGTAATATTATACTGCATGACGTGTTCCACAGACAAACAATCTATGTACAGAATTAGTCAAAAATTACTACTCTATTCTCAGTTGATTCCGCCGGCCTATTTAATGTTTTATTAGGTGCTAATTCAGCACCTCGTATTCCAGAATGCCAACGTTGTGTGGTTAGTACTCCCACTTTGAATTCGAAAGGTCCAGGGTTAGAATCCAGGCCCTGATCCAGCTATCCTAAAATCTTCCTGGCAAAAATAAAATCACCAACCATGGCGGGAATCAAACCTCGGTCGTCCAGTCACTTTACAGAGTTATCCTGGGGCATGCATTCTTGTATCGCAATTTGTCCCCCTTTCCTACCAGAACAGAGGATTTTAAGGGAGACAACGCACGATCAAAGAGTGCGTATTCGAAGAAAAACACTGGTCTAAGATGATGATGATAATAAGTTCCGACTAGAGCCCATATAAGACAACAAGATATATTTAGCAGAATAAATAATTTAAACACTTGGAATGGAGATTTCTGGTCCAATCATAATCAGACTGACATGGATACCATACACAAGTCCGTATGTATGACTAGGTGTGTAACATAAGCTAGGAATTATGCGGTGGTATTGGTAGTTTCTCATAAGTGCAGTGTTTTATGAATAAGGAATAGAGTCTTATACCTACTCACAGTTTTGTCTGTGCTGAGTATCATGCTGTCATCGAACCACAAATAACAACAATTCAAACAAACACTTAATTTTATTGTACTGCAGCAACAAGCAAATTGCTAACAATAACAAATATGTAAATATTTCTTAAGAGTAAGTTACAATGCTTCTTTGATATTTGTATGTTTATTCGTCAATAAAGCACTGATTCTCAGAATGCATAAAACAGAAATGTGCTTAATAGCATCCATCGCGTTCGTGTGGTATAATGCTTGGAACCGCTCAATAATCACTTCCGTACTCGACACAGATATTCTTCCTGTTTACATAACCAAATTTGTATGCAGACATAAAGCAATGTTGTTTGACTGGTATGCCCAAACAATGTGAATTCAAACGCGTTTACACTCCAGTTCACAAAGCGTGAAATTTGCAGCGAGATCTTACTCAGGCCTTATCATCCTGTGTTTCTGTTTCGTTGTTATACTGCATATGTCTCATTGCGCGTTTCTTCAGAACAACAGTAAAAGTCTGACTTGTCATTTATCGCTCGTTACTAAAATGTTCGTGTGTTAAAATGTCCTGTTACAAAAATTAAACAGATCCTAAATAAAAAGAACGTGGAAGTATGTAGACATGCTACAATTATACATTATCTGGTGTGTCGTGAGATAGGCCTATTGAACCACCACGTTAAGAAATAACAGCATTAAATACACGTTTTTTAGACACCATTTGCAATCTAGTATTTAGTTTGTTGTAACTGAATGGACAAAAATAACACGGAGGAACTCGATGAGCACTGGAACTTCAGTAGCATGCACACTACTTGTTTCGTAGAGTCAAAGTTTGGGCTCCAGATGTGAGCTAGCTAAGCTCTTAAGAGCATTAACTACGCTTAAAACTCAAAGTTTAAGGTCCCAAATGGTACATAAAGTCCATTCTAAAGATCATAAAATTACTTGGTGGAATTTAAATTTATGTCTACATAAAGTCAGAAATATCTTAAGCTAAAGTTTCAGTAGGCTACACTGCCAAATCCGATGGCTCTTAGATTTTATGATGCTTCTTTATCGCTTAATGAATAATGTAAAATTTTACGGTTTATTTCCTTTCACCCATCTATTCTTCCTTCATAACCAAAGCATAGGTAGACGGTTACCCGAAATACAACTATAAGAATAACTACGAGAAGTTTTAATTTAGATTTTAATTAAATATGGGTTTCCTGGAAACATTAATACGCCTTATTCCTTCTCTTCTTCTTATACTAACATCTCAAACACAACAATTACACGAGCAACCCTGCATATTGCAATGGAATTTCAACATATACTTGATTGTTCTTATCGGTTTTCGGGGACGTACCTGATTTAACCACGTTCATAAACTACTTAACCCTTTCGATGCCGCGCAACAGACATTTCGCTCATAATTGGTAGTCATTCCGACTTGGATTTAGCTGGCGTTTAAGATCAGTGAAAGATGCTTGAAGCACCATCTCTCAGCACTTGAAGCAGATCGTGGCTCTTCAACAGCAGGACTGACCTCTATCTTCACCGTCCGTTTCTACAATATTAATTTTAATATCAGACCATTTACTCCTAGGTCTACCAACTGACTCTTTCCACGAAACTCGCAACAAAAATGTTACATGCACATCAAGTACACTACGGACTAAACTATAAAGTCGTATATGAGGAAATGAGGTAAAATACACTCATTTTTAACTTCGGCATTAGATCTCTAGCCCCTTTATTAGCAGGGAAAGAACCCACAGGTACCTACTTGATACAAAGTTGGATGGTACCCAGTGACGCACTGTTGAAAGAAAACCTCTGACCTGCCAGGAATCAAACTCCAGTCCTCCTATTATTAGCCAGGAAAATTTACCGACGATGCTTTTCCGGCATGTCCCGTTTACATACATAACAAATCTCTTTCATTTAGTTTAAAAATAAATGAAGACTGAAAGTATAATAAAGTGTTACGTGTTGGTTTTATAAAGCAGTGGTTCCCAAACTGTGTTCCGCGAAACAATGGTGTTCCGTCACTGAAATCGAGTGACGGGTGTCTTCTCCCGAATCGCATTTCACTTATTATCATTGTGCGAAATGCGCAGACCATAATTTTATATGTTACTTCTGTTACCAAAACCTACTGTCGGTGTTTACGTCATCGTTCGGATGACATAAAAATTAATGGCGTTCCGGAGAGCATCAAAACGCCAGGTGATCCCCAAAATGAAAAACTTTTTGAACCACCGCTGTAAAGCATCCAAAATAAAAGTACAAGGAAAAGGAGAAGAGGTAACTGTACCTGTTTAATTTTAGAGCAGAAGCCTCTGCTATAACTAAGAAGCCGACAGAGGCTGTTCGTAACTTCCTTATTTTTTCGCCTCTTCATCTTCCCCTCTCTCTCTTCCCCAGTATCTCTAAATTTAGGCTATCTTCACGCACTCCAGAGTCCACAGAGCCAAGTAATCACTATCGGTCGGTCAATTGGAGACCAGCGACGTACACAGAATGATTAATAAACACTTACACGTTACTGTCCAAATAAAAAAGCAAGTTATACAACCAACATCAGTTGTACATAGACGTATTTTAGTAGTATAGAAAGCATAGAATTAAAAAGTAAAGCTGTCCCACTATACGCCATGTAGGCGCTTGGGGGGAGACGAGGTATAGCTCCTCTCTTCCTTGACCTCGGCACTAGATGGGGGTAAGTGGTCAGCATCACGCCCCGGCCGTGCTTTACCCCCGGGAAAGGACCCCGGTGCCCACTAAATAGGAGGATGGGTGGGCCCCAGAACCGGTCTGGACGCAGAGGTTGAAGGAAAAATCCTCTGCCCCCGTCGGAGATCGAATCCCGCTCGTCCAGTCCGTGGCCAGTCACTATACTGAGGTAAATCGATAGAATTATACAAACTTAAAAAGGCGTTAACAGCACAAAAAATATTACTCAGTAAAATCTCATACAACATCATCTGAACGAAAGAAATGTTAGTATTTCAGACAGGCTTCGTTTTAACATGATATGCAACGCAAATTCTCATTCTCGGAATGAGCCCATGTTTAACCATAACAGTGCAAACACAGATTAGATTACCTCAGATTTACTTGAACCATGTTCCGATATGGCAGATATAATACAAGGAAGAATAATTTCTGTCTAACGCCTTTGTTAAGTTCGAAATAATGTATTTATTTATTTAGATTTATGTCTATCATAAAGGACATTCATGTACGTAAGGATATGTTCTCCTGGCTTTTACCAACGTAAGAAAGAAAATCAAATAAAAGCAAGGTGTGCCCGGCATGTAGCCAAGCTTAGAATCGAATCGAGCACCTCCCGAATACAAGTCTACAGCAACCTGCTCGGTACCATTCACAGAGAAAATTATAATAAAAAAAAGAGCATGATGAAAACAAAGAAGAGTAACAAAACTAAAGAATAAAAAATAAAACAGGACTAATGGAGAAGTGGCATTAGTTCGAAATCCAGCTTCTTCGAAAGCAAGAGTTCATGGACAGATTTAAGTGCTGGATTTTCCTTTCGCATTAGACTTTTTTTTTCAACAATTCTCCCTACAGCTACCACGGTTCCAAGCTGCAACAAGTGCAAATTTGTGTCTAAATAAAGGAACTTGGATGAGGGAGCAGCTGAAGGCCTACTTGAGTTCCGTACCGCATCGAGACCGGTTCTAGGGCCCACC